GCTAGCCACAGAAGCTCTTTCAAGACATTACTGGAGGTGTTAAAAATGCACTTTGGTGTGTCTCTCAAGGCTACTACTCTGTGGCAGTGGTGAAGAAGTCAGATGCTGACCTCACCTGGAGCTCTCTTCGAGGCAAGAAATCCTGCCACCCTGCCGTTGGCAGCTCTGAAGGCTGGATCATCCCCATGGGTTTAATATACAACAAAACAGGATCCTGTAAGTTTGGTAAGTGCATTCCGGGACAGGGTGAGGCAGCCGGTTCCTTGGGCCTGTGCCTGTGAAGGGGAGGGATTCAGTTCAGTGAATGGCAAGGAATGGCGTCCGTGTCTGGGCCAAGGGCTGGGCAGTGCAGTTCACACCCCTCGCAGATCCTCAGCCCCTTTTCCCAGACTGAGTTCAAAGGGCAGCACTCAAAGAAAGATCTAGTTCTCATTGTCATGCAGCTGGCTCTGGGCACGAGTGTGGGGTTACAAAGTGAGAGTGTGACATATGGTATAGTGTGTGTGTGTATGTGTGTTGTTTTCCCACATAAAGCAAATAGTCTGTTTTCTTAATTAAAAACCTAATACCAGCAAGAATTTTATTTTTCATATTGCTATCTTCTCTTTTAGATTTCATATTTTAGCAACTCTCTTGCCAATACCATAAAAACTCCTGCTCCCCTACATTCTCCAGCCACTTGACTAATCCTAGCCCTAGAGGAACCCCATTACCTGCTCCCTTTGCTTCCTACTCCTGAGCTGTACCTGAAAATGCCTGGAGAATGTCAGGGGGAAGAGCAGGACTCTCAACTGGAAATTCTCCTGTGTTGGCTTCAGTGGGCCCCCAGCACTCTTAAGCACACCCACTTTCCTCTGCTCCATATCCCTACACTTCCTGATAATTATTCAAGTACCCTAGTGGTCCACATACCTCCATCTCACCCCCCTCTACCGCCCTTCCTCAGCAGATGACCTTGCACGTGCAAGAAACAGTAACCATCAGGTTTCCTCTTCCACATCCCTCCCCCAAAGCCTGGGCCTCCAGTGCACTGCGTCTGCTCCCCAACCCTGCAAACCCCCAGCCCCTCACTCCCTCAGTTACGACATCGCCCTCTGGTATATCCAATTTCTTACAACATGTAAAAGCACCGGTGCTTCCATCTTTACAAGTCCTCCCTCTCCAGCTCCTACCTTTTTTTTTCTCCTCCCATTTAAAACAGACCTAGAGGTGTGATCTGAGCCACTCACCCCACACCCTGTCCCCGGTTTCATCCCACAGGGAGGATTCTGGTCAAGGTTGTAGGTCACCTCCTCCTTGTTCAATTGGAAGGCCCCGTGGCTTGCTGCTCCATGACCTCTCAGCAGCGTTTCTCCAAATCACCTTACCTCACTATCTCTGAAAGTACACTGGTTTGGTGTTGCTCTTACTTTTACAAAGTCTCCCCATTCCAACCTGGTTAATAAATGTTTAAGTTGCCTAAAGCAGCTCTAACTGAATCTCCAAGCACTCACACCTTTGCTTCTTGCCTCCATGACCACCTAAAGTAATAGTAAGCGCACAAAGCTAGGCGTTATTGTAGCATGAGATAAATGTTTGCTGCTATCATTATTTTTAATAATGTTCATGATAATCAAATTTTTTATATCACAAGCACAGATCTTTCCCTGACCTCCAGGTCTGTGTGGGTGTGCTGTATGTACATTTATAACTTTGAATCTGCCTATTTGACATTATCTAGTTGGATATTTCCAAAGCACACTGAGCTCAACCTGTTCAAAATGGAAATCTCTCTGCTAAGCCCGCCCAGCTTGGGAAGTGCCCACAGCTCATGCATTTGCTGCAGCTGGAAAGTGGACTGTGGGTCCTTCCCTCACACGTCCATCCTTCCCCAAAGGGATCAGTGCTCCCCCCACCCCTCACCACCCTGTGTGTTGAACAGGTTCCCGCTTCCCCTCCACCGCTGTGGCCTGCTCATCTGGCATCTGCCCCAGGTTCTATCTACTCTCCTGCCCACCTGGGCTTGTAAAGTGCAGATCTGATGCTGTGCGACCCACCGCTGTCAAAACCCCTGTACTCCTCTGAGGATAAAGAACAAAATCTACACAGAAGTGTGAAAGGGCATGTGATCTGGACCCTGCCCCCTCTCCACTTACTCTCACTCTGGGTGCTCCAGCCCAGGGGCCTCCATTAAGCCATCGGAGCGTTTACCTCCACCCTGAACCCCCATCTTAGGCTTTTACAAATGCTGCTTCCGGTCCTGAAAGCTCTTTTCCCTTGTCCTTGGGTAATTTCTGTTCCTTCTCCATCCCTCTGCATGAGGTCTCCCCCTGACGCCCAGGTGTACCAGTTCCTTTATTGTGGTCTTGTGGAGCCATTTTCTTTTCCCCAGAGTGTGGAGGAAAGGGTGGGGGGAGAAGGAGAGAGACGCAATTTCCCTGGTGTGTTACTTGAGTTATGATTGTCACTCCATGGCCTTAGGTTCCAGGAGCCTGTGCACAGGCGGGCGGGCCTCTCATACCCCTCCCTGAACTTGGAGTCGGGCCTGCCCACCTTGGAAGGAAGGTCTTGGGCAGCAGAGGTGGGGAGACATGTGGACAGGGTCAGTCAGCCAGAACGTTTGTCTACTCGCTAGTGTCCACTCTATTGCTGAATCAGTGTCTGCCCTCCCACAATACTGGCCTGTCTGGGATGGGGTGGGCATCTCTGAGCTCACATGCCCTTCTCCCAACCTTGGCCAGGCTTTCTTTATCTTGCTCTAGCTGCATCTTTTCCTTTTATTCCATTGGTTCTTCTAATACTGTGGTACTAAGTACCAGAATGTGTCTTTATATCATTCAGGCAATTCTAGGGGAAAAGTTGAGGTGCCCTTGCTAACACAGGCAGAAGAACTGACCCCCCTTTTGTTCTGCACAGATGAATTCTTCAGCCAAAGCTGCGCCCCTGGGTCTGATCCAGAGTCCAGTCTCTGTGCTCTGTGTGATGGCAGCGGTGATCCAGCCCTCAAGTGTGTCCCCAACAGCCGTGAGAAATACTATGGCTCCAGTGGGGCACTCAGGTGAGCCTTGTCAGGGCACTGCCTCACTCTTTGACACCAACCCAGTTATCCTGTAAACTTTTCCATCATCCCAGCAATGGGTGTTGTATTGTGTGGAGCCAGAATTAGGGAACAGAATTACAAATTCCCAGTATCCTGAAGCCTGCAGTTCAGTTCTTTTCTGAAGCCTTCTCCTGCAGTCCCAGCTGATGTCAGACACATGAGGGAAGGCCACAATGAGGGTTCCACATTTGCTTCTTTCTTCTGTGTGATTGTGGACAAGTCACAGGACCACAGAGTCCCAGATTAAAATCAAAGAATGGGGCATGGGGCAGATACCAGTACATTTAAAAAATAGCTACTCCTGGGTTCCTCCTTTCAAGAAGTATTTATTGAGCACTAGCTATGTGATACATGTGATCTAGACACAGGGGTCACAGCAGCAACAACATACACACACAGAGCCTGTATCTTCTGGCTGTGTGGGGACAGGACGGCAATAAAGGCCTAAGTAAAGGACACTCACTTCCCAGCTGTGAAGAGTGCTGTGGAGAAAGCAGGGGGTGACGTGGCAGTGAACTCAGATAAGGTGCGATTTTGAGAACGGTGACAGGAGAGGCCTCAGCAAGCAGAAGGGGTATGTGAAGTAAGTTTTAAACAGTGAGAGGGAGTCAGACCTGAGAACATGTGGAGGACGGAATCCAGGAAGAAGAGTCAGGGTGAAGATGGGGCGAGGGACAAGTCAGACCATGTTTGAGGGCAGAAAAGGCCCAGGGCAGAGCATGGGGGGAGGGGTCAGATGTGTGAGGAGGCCGGGACATCACATTGGCCGGGTCTGGGTGCCCTGTTAGCTGGGCTATGGAGGTTGGTAAACCTCCAACCTCGATGGGCAGCTCGGAACACTCGAGGCGGTGGTGCCTGTCGTGTGAGTCAGGGCCGTGTGCCTGTGTGTGGACAATGTGTGAGGCTCTGGAAAGTCTCTTTTTACTTGGAACACTGCCAGACTCCATTACGTCCTGCCCTCGTCAAGGTCTCTTTCATAAGCCGCACATATATTACATGTTTTCACAGATCTTAGCGCAGCAAGACATGCTGAATGTTAAGATTAAACTAATATGTTTTTTATAGTGACTTTATTATTTTTTATAAATATATAATAGTTTATTTTTACATTTTTTTTTTCATCTCACCATCTCAGTTGTAATCCCTGTGGACTGCCCATC